CAGTCAAGAAATGAATGATTGATAGTGATGACTTCTATTTCCATTACATTTCGACCCGATAATTTCTACTTCGTTGATTCCAACCTCTTTGCCTAAAAGCAGGTACGGTCAGACTAGTGGAGCAAGAGCAGCGGTGGCGTATCGTAACGTGGGGCTCACGTATTGTTGCCAAATAGTGGTAAAAATCAGCAATTCCCCCGTTTAAACCCGTTAAAAATATCCAAATTTAATTCCAAAATCTGGCAACCTCGGGCTCACGGCTCACCCACCCACCCATCTCGGAATTCAAGTAACTCACGCCAAAACACGCCACATACGATGCCTAGCTCTGATAGCACCGGCATATACCACCATTGCCAGATTTCGGGGATCCTTTAAGCTTGCCCCTGCTTTGATATTTTTAAGTGGGGACCTGTGAGCTCCGCGTATATTCGGCAAGGCTGAGACAGGAGCATGATATTCCACGGTGAAGTTTCGTTACAGTTATTGAAAGGGTACGGCACCCTGGTGCCAGTTATTGCCCAAAGAGTTCAAGTGCGTGACGTTTTTAATCGGATCTGCTTTTCGAATGGTCGAGCCAGGGTATTAATAATGGTCTTGATGAAACCGACGGTAAAATGAATCTATGTATCATTTGAACGAATACGCTGCTTTATTTCTCAGACTAATTGTAAGTATCCTTGTGGTTGCGAATATTAACAACTAAAACTTATTAATTGGTACAGGAAATACAGTCGTAAGACTCTTATTAATCAAACTTAAAGCAAAACTGATTTTGCTGTCGAGTACGAACTCGATGAACAGAGAGTGAACAGTCGTAGCAAGCAAGTCAAATCGGGTATTTTGTCAAATGCGCAGGCAAATAGTCAAATTCTTAAGGCCAAAATTTTTTCTCGTGTTTCTGATGAAAATTCCTGAATCTTTCAGCACTTGGAAAGAAAATATTCAGTCGAAGTATCAAATTTTACTATATTTTACAATCTGTAATGTTTTCTGCATCAAACCCAAATATTTTACCGCCAAGCTTTTAAATAATCTGTATTTGATGAGCCTTTGGTTGATTAGGTTTGGGGTAGATGTGTAATGAATGATAAAAGCTCTGAAAAAAATTACGACTGGATTATACATTGCCATGTGCAGACATTTGACGCAATAACTGATTCGATTGTCAGTGTACGGTACATGATAGACGTCCGGGCACAATCCTCCAGACTTCTTGATCTTCTAAAATCTTGGTCCCATTTCGCCGAAATCGATCTATCTTTCCTCCAGCGGGCTGATTGTTGTAATTGATGGGCACAGTGATAGACAAAGAGGACAAAATGAGTACGGAGCGATCATATTGGTTAATTTGGCTAGATCTTTTGGCTGGAAGCTTGACAGGAAGTCTGCGACTTCGCAAACCGAGCTATGTGGTTACCGACCTACACCAACGATATCCTCTTTGTCTTATTTGTCTATAGCTTTGTCTATCAATTTCAATAATCAGCCTGCGCAGTGTTTAAAGAATCCCTATAAGCATGGCAGCAGAGCCTTATTTTCGCCTGTTGGAAGTGGCTACCCTACCCGTAGTGATACGAGCGGTGCTATACGGAGCGCCGGCGCCTTCGACCGAGTGTAAGATTAAGCCGCTCTCACACTTACACCGGGGAGCGGCGCGGCGCGCGGCGGATGAAAATATCACCGTCGAAACACCAAGGGAACAGCCAACATCGGGACGGACACACTGCCGTGCTAAGGAAGAACGCCGTATGAACATTCGAGAGTTGCCAAGTTTCCTTTGATAAAATGCTAAATTTTGAGGAAAATTATGAATATTTTTCCTTGATATTTTCAGGAACTTTAGACCAAAATACGAACAAAATTCCCTGGAAAATTGGAAGAAAAATATTCACAAGTTTACCAGGAAATTCGAGTTTTATCAAAGGAAATTTGGCAACGCCTGAAGGTTCATACGACGTTCTTCCTTAGCACGGCAGCACAAACCTCGCGCGGGGACACACGGGGACACCCCGAGCACGGTCGCGGGATGATCCGGAACCCGGGCGGCGAGCATGGAACAATCCTCGTTACAAGTTACAAAATGATTCGTTACATAAACTCCGCTGGGAACGGGCCCGGGCCGGGGCGCCGCGACGTCGTATGAGAGGGGCACTCCACGACGTGGTGGTTATTACGCGCGCGATGCGCCCGGACCCACGGCCTCGTATGAGTTCCGTGGGTCACTCGCTGGGCGCTGCCACGTCGGATCCTATACTGCCATGCTAAGGAAGTAGAGTCCCTTTATACCCAGAGTTAAGACAACTCACTTTTGGTTGGGCTGAAAGTGGCCTAAAAAAAAATCCAATTCTGATTGGTTCTCGCTCATGGAGGCCGAAACGAGTGCACCAAGATGGCGGTACCTCGAATGTGAACAAGAATAATGAAAATATTACCTAATTGTGGTTTATCAAGAGTAAATTGTTATTTCCATCGGTCCAAAATGAAAATAGATTAAGAAATTATTCACAAACCAATCTCATTTTCTTTTTAATTGATCAATTTGTTGATGTTGTTGTTTTTGTGTGACAGACATCGCAGGATTCCTGATGCTTATCCCTCAATATCGTTCGTTTGGGTGCACTCGTTTCGGCCTCCATGGCCAGCCAAGGCCGGCTGCCAGTCAGCTGATAATCGAGTTGTCTTAACTCTGGGTATAAAGGGACTCTATAAGGAAGAACGTCGTATGAACATTCGAGGGTTGCCAAATTTCTTCAGGTAAAACATGAATTTTTGGGGAAATCAATGCGTGTTTTTTTCTTGAAATCTGCTCATATTTTAGATTAAATTGCGAACGAAATTGTCTTAAAAATTGGGAGATAAATATTGACAACTTCTCCTAGTAAATTCATTATTTATCGAAGGAAATTTGGCAACGTCTTAGGGTTCATACGGCGTTGATCCTTAGCACGGCAGTGTAGCCTCATAGGCTTGGTATCGTCATATCGAAGGCTCTCAATAAGTAATGCCACTTTATGTGCGTAGAACTACATCTGCACGTTGCTACATTTTCTGGAAGAACTACGAATTTCTTAATGTTTTTACACAACAATGTGTGTTTGTTTGTGTTTGTGTTTCTGTAATGTGTTGTGTTTCTTAATGTTTTTCTTAATGTGTTTCTCTCTTTTTGTAAACGTTGCGGAAAATTGTATGCATACTTTGATCTGGATAACTTCAAGGAAAATAATCAACATCAAAGCTAAATAATTCTTAAACTGACAAAATGATCACCGAAAAAACTACAGGGTTTTTAATACAAAATCTTATGATTAGTGCTGTTGAGCGTGATACCACTATTCGACCCTCTAGGAGCTTGGTGTGCCTATTCAATCAATTGAAGGCGTTTTAATTTGCCGTCACTGCACGCCAAATTCCTAAGAACTGTTGTGGAGTGGATAGTGGTAACGAGCAGATTCTCATTTCAGATTGTTTATTCTTTAATGGCCTTATCAAAATGTGTATTTTGAAGTGCGAAACCACGTATTTCCATTGCGATGTTTCAAAATTTCGGCTTCTATTTTATTATTTTCGAAGCAATAAACCAACTAGTTTGAAATTTTTACATTATATTCTGCTTCAGTGAAAAAAATCAAGGCAGTCTCCGAGAAATTGCGTTAACTAGTCTTCCAAAGAAAAAATGAAGAATGACAGGAAGTCTCAACGTTGCAAACGGAAAAATGTGGTTTCGTATACTTTGTGGAGTTCAAAAAAGACTCCGGGGCATTCCTTTTCTATTATTATTTCGTTTAGGAATCTTCCCTTGGAAATCAGGAAAACATCAAAGTATGAAAAAAACCAAAAATTCTAGACACCCTAGTTGAGTTTCCTTTGCATACGCCACTGAAGTTATTTTCGTCGAAAGCTGAACTTTCGGGAAGCTCTAAAGAAGCTCCGGGGAACATTTTCTCACGTGGTTGCGTGCATTCTCGTCGCGACGTCGACGTCGCGTCGTCGATCGGTGGTCTTATCCGCCGATATCTTGCCCATCGCGCTTGTCCCGCCGTCGTCGTTGATAATAGCCGCGGAGGACTGAGGAGTGAGGAGGCGGAGGAGGCTCAGTGCGAAACAATGAGCTTGTCCTCGTAATCGTTACATGACAATGTCCCCAAAATCACACACGAACGCGTTTGCCGCATCGTGCAGGAAAATGAACCGATTTATGGATTTAGATTTATGGGTAGAGGCAGGGTTGCCGCAGTCAGAGAATCTTACGACGTCCGGGAAAACGTATGGAAATTTCAGGGGAAATGACAATTTTTTCTCTCTTTCTCTCCCCCCCCCTCTCTCTCTTTTCTTTTTTCGTTTTTTTCTGTTTTTTTCTTTTTTCTTCTTCTTTCATTTTTTCATTTTTTTCTTTTTTTCGTTTTTTTCTTTTCTTCTTTTTTCCCTATTTTTCGGTTTTTGTGTGGTTTTCTGTTAGTTTACTGGCTTTAATCCCTGTGGGGCCTACAGAATGACCAAAGTTTAAGGGGAAAATCGATAAGCCACCTTTATTTGTTCTCTAGAATGGGTTCGATGTTTCGAGCAACAAATTGTGCCGAAAAACTATTTTAAATTATGGATTTTTAACCATCTGGCATATCTTTAGTTGCCTGGGAATTTTAACAAAATGTGTCAGAGGAATCAGTTAAATGGTTTTTTGATCAGGAATAGCGCTTTGCAATAATGAGAAAATATACATCTGTGTAGAATTTCTATTTTTGTATGTTGTGTTGTTGACCGAAAACGAGTTGACCAAGCTAGTTGCTCGGACAATCCACTTATAATTTTCTTTAACTGCGTGAGCCAATGCTCAAATTGCGATCCCAAGATACGCGCAACTGATCCACTCTTTACGTGTCCCAAATTATTATTTATAAGTTTTCCGTAACCTCGGAGGAACTGCTGCGGCGTCTTGCACATCTGTTATAAGGGCGTCAAAGTAACGAATTATAACGGAACAATCTTTCTCTGTGTTTCAGGATCCATCAAGACAACGCTATTGGCTGAATCAAGTTTTAACGTGACGTGGCATCTCGCTTATCCTCACTCGGTAAGATTTCAGTTAGCACCGAATTTTTTTTTTCAGCGTTAGTTCAATAAATCCGTCATCTCAGATGACAACGACTGGACTTCGCTGCAAGCTAGTCAATGCGGCCGATCGAATGAAAACATCTCCACGATTAATGGAATTGGGGCAATTTATAAGGTCGACGAGGTTAATTGGCTCTCGAAATTTTGAGAGAAGCCGCCAAATATTCCGATCATTAAAATTTCTCTTCAATTATTTATTGATAAATCCTCGATGATTTGGAATCGAGAACCTATGGCTGAAACATAAGTTGGCTACGAGAAACGAATATCCTATACTAATTATGTGTATCAATACAAACAAAAGAATAGCTGCAGCATAGAATCAGCCTATGCTTACAATTTAGCTTGAATGCTGTTTTAACAGCTTAACCGTGCACAGCCCTCTTACAAATGTTTCTCCAGATATAGACTTTTATTTAGAAAACTGGGGAGATTTACCATATAGATGAATAGATAATTCAATTACTACACAATTAATTGGACCGCTAAACAGAAAGGAACCAAGCCACGCCAACTATTGCCAAATTTAACCGGGAAATTTAATTTTTTATATGGACACGGTTGTGCGGGTTTTCGTGCAAATCTCAGTGAATTTTCTCCATAGCACGAAGCAAATGCCCTAAAATTTTCAAAGAAATCCGCACCAACGTTCTCTCGTAAAAAAATTAAATTTCCTATCAGAGAGTTGTTGGCACTCCCTGGTAAAAATTGGCAGTAGAATCTGTGTTCCAAAATACCATAGACCTACAGACGGCTGTAAGATTTCCAATAGCTTCTATAGCCGGCTACACAATTTCTTATAGCCTTTTATAGCCGATGGCGATGAAGCAACAGCCTGGCGATAAAGTGTATGCTAAACGTTACTAATTACAGATGCTACGACTTAGTGAGTTTTTGGACTACTGCTCTCTTTTTGGGACGTAGTATCTTGATTTATTTTCCGAGGAAAGCTCCGTACTTTTGATGGATGGCTGTCATTCCTAATATATTAGAGCGCCTTCAGTTTCGTATAATACTGTGCAATTCCTCTGGTGTGAAATAGTTGCTTCAAGCAATGTGGCACACTGCGGCGCGGCAGGCGGGCAGCCAGCGCGAAACGCGCATTGGCGCCTACAAACCTAACAGGGATACTTCACGCGTTGCGCAATGCGTGAAGTATCCCTGTTAGGTTTGTAGGCGCTAGTGCGTCGCCGCTCCGCTTTGTATTAGGCTCTAATACTTAATCTGGCGGAGTCAGCGTTATTCAACTCATGATTTTGAAATGTTTGCACATCCTGTATGGATTATTCTCATTTTAATTGATGAAAAAAAATATGTATTACAGGAAAATATAATGTGTGTTTTGTAAATATTAAGGTGGTTCCGTATCAAACTTAATGATTTCCAAAGCACACGAATTTCTACACAATTTCTTATAGCCTTTCATAATCGATGGCGAAAAAGCAACAGCCAGGCAATAAAGTGTAAAGCCCAGCGGCATAATTTTTTATCGCTTCGTATAGCCCGGCCATATGATTTTCTCCGCATTTTACAGCCAGCTATATGATTTTCTGTAACCTTCTTTAGTCGGCCATAAGAATTCCTATGGTATTTTGAAACGCAGCTCTTATCGCCTCTTTACCAGGGCTCCCTATTTTCATTTAAAAACCCCTATTGCCACCCTCTCACCAGGCGATTACTTCGTCATCGTCCAAGATAAATCCAATCGAGCATCTTCTCATTTACTAGATCTTATTGTCAGTAGTTATAATTTTTTCACCGCATGAAGAAAATCCAAGATGGAGTACTGCCGGAGCAAAGTCAATGTCCCGCAGTTTCTCGTTATTATTAAAACAGTCCATTGTCAAAGGGCAGGCATGTTGGTTTTCGAACTCATCTAGAGTCAATTTTCCAACTCCATCAGTTTCATCGGGTCATCGCCGCCTGGCTCCCTCCCCCTCGCCCGTTCTATTGCGCGTAATCGTGTTTGGAGAAGAAAAGAGGAGAAAATGGAGTCGGGAAAATTTCGGGGCCGGACAAAAAGCGGCGCGGGACGGTGGTCCGTGCGTGGAAGAAAGGAAAACCGCCTTTGAGTCGGGGCGGCGCGGCCGGTGAACGTCAACGTCCGAGGTTATTTGTCTTGGTAAGTGGACGCCGCGCGACAATGGAGCGGGAGCAGGACCAAGGCGAAGACACGACGCTCAATACGCGGATGACCAAATCAATCGCCCATCATCCTATTAGCCCCACTCGTGACCTAGCTGCCAATTATCCAGATAAATGTGCTTTTTGGAGAGAGGGATTTTAGGTTAAGGTGCATTGAAAAAAAAAACTCCGGTCGTGGGAGCCGCAATTACGGGCTATGTAGACATACAGTCCGTTCCGGGCTCGAAGGCCGAAAATTCCGGCTGCTGGAGCCGTAGCTTCGGCCTCTGAACCCGGAGCAATCGAAGCTACGCCTTCAGCAGCCGGAATTCTTGGCCTTTGAGCCCGGAACGGACGGTATGTCTACATAGCCCGTAATTGCGGCTCCCACGGCCGGAGTTTTTTTTTCAGTGTGGTATGCTGAATAAGTTGCTCGTCGTCGCCAATCATTGTGAGGCGAAAAGTAGCGTTAACCTTAGGATTCAAATTTTATCTCGCCTGGACCACATTGCTTAAAAATTGTTAGTGCGTGTCTCTGGTCAAAAAAATCGGTTTTTCAAAATGAAGTTCGGGTTTGAAGGTTCGCAGTTCAATTCGAACCATTCCATCCAAATGGAGTCCGACAAGGAATTGTGTGACTCATCGTGGCAACTGGTTTTAGTCGCGGGTGGACAATTGGACATGTGGTCGAATGACCATAGACAAGGGTTACAGAGACGGAGGCCAGGACATAGGGGCTGAGCTTCCATTGTCTCCGTTGTCCTTGGTCCTGCTCAATTCGAATCCGTAATCCGGTCACTTGATCGGTCAAGATCCCCCGTCGGACGGGAATTCTGTCATTGTGTAGCCAGTTCTGTAGTTCGAATTGTTTTCGGCCACTCGCAAACGTTGCCAACCAGACACACATATTGTCGTGGTTTTTTTTTTTTTTTTTTTTTTTTGGATGGGATAAAACCAGAGACAAGAGACCCTCCACTGGCCTTGTAGCGACAGGTGGAAGCTTTTACTTTCGGAGTTTCAACAATTCCTTATGGACAATTATTAGGGAGAAACAGTCATCACCCTAGTTTCGGCTGTTGACTTACCTACATGGTCGATGATGAGCATCGGATGACGTCATGAGCCAAACAACTTTCCCAAACGTCGGCCATTTTCGGCTTGTTTGCAAAACGAGACTGCCAACACGTTGTTGAACATCAACCATGTAGGTAAGTCAACAGTAGAATGCTGAAGTCCCGAAAGTAAAAGCTTTCACCATGGCCAAGATACTAGTGGAGGGTCTCTTGTCTCTGGATAAAACAGTCGTCATTCTGGAAACGTTAAGTGAGCTTATGATTAAATTGAGGTATCAAAATCCGTCGAAACCTATCGATTGAAATGCCGGAATCAGCTCTCTTCTCGGGCAGAAATCGAATTTGTTAAAGGTAGACAAATGGGCATTTTATCGTAGGTCTACTTTGCTTTGGTTCGTGGAAAGCGCTAGCTGCTTGCAAAGATTAATCTTCGTCAGCTCTGTGGTCGGCCGATACCTTGAATTTTAAGGTTTCCCAGCCCGATTTGCGATAGACCTCAATGATTTATGTAGTCAAAGAAAACAATTAGATCCATTCTTCAACTTTAATGATTGGAAACATTCCTACCTAGAAAACTCGTCAATGAGGCGAAACTAAAAAAGTGCTGATCATCACAATGTAATCATACATGTATATTTTCTTTCGAGATTTCATATCAATGGCTTTAACCTCAGTTTTCTTGAAATAATTCTCTTTAGGATCCTAAATTAATTTTTGGCCAATGTGCATCCAAAATTTAATAGATTTTCGCCCAAAAGAAAGTCAAATTTGAACATTCATTGAAACAAATTCGACCAGCTTCCAATCCTTTTTCTGCCAAAGACTCACCTAAAGTTGCAATTTCATGATTAATTAATTCTCTATATACACTGGAAAAAACACATTGGATTTAGAGTCCAGACTCTTGAAAACATTGACAAGAAAAAATACTCTTGATTCAATCGGATTTTTGCTTGAATCAAAACGAAATACGCTTAAGTTAAGAGGCTTGGTTCTTGATTTAAGCTAGATTCTGATTGAAACAAGAGTACTTTTTCTTGTCGATGTTTCCCTCATATTACCTGTACACTGGAAAAAACAAAAAAAACACATTGGATCTAGAGTCCAGACTCTTGAAAACATTGACAAGAAAAAATACTCTTGATTCAATCGGATTTTTGCTTGGATCAAAACGGAATCCGCTTAAATTAAGAGGCTTGGCTCTTGATTTAAGCTAGATTCTGATTGAATCAAGAGTAATTTTTCTTGTCGATGTTTTTAAGAGTCTGGACTCTAGATCCAATGCGTTTTTTTTCCCAGTGTAAAGTTGCAATTTCATGATAAATCAATTCTCTATGTGGATTCGAACCCACATCACTTCCCAGATCCGCACGATTAGATGTTGACGCGAAGCCCTCATCTCTGCGGCCGCATTCCGCTCGTTCGGAGCTGAAAGTTCAGAAACAATAATTTACTTCGATGAACTATGAAATGATGAACGCGTTTCGACCTGTATCCGGAGATATTTCCATTAACTCGGCAAGAATTTAAATATCCCAGTGTCGCGGCGAACGCAACGGTCAGTCGCGAGGATTCTTGCGTCACAAATTTTGGCAAAAGCTCTGTCGCGTCGCGTCTGAAACCTCCGAGTATCCGCGCGAATTTCGCCTGTGAAAGTCACGATCCTCGAGCGATGCTGCTTTGTTGAGGAAGAACGCCGTATGAACATTCGAGAGTTGCCAAATCTCCTCCGTTAAAACATGTATTTTGGACAACATTCATG